TTTTTAATGTTTATCTTTTAGGTATCTTAATGATTATTTGATGTAAGTATTTAATATATGTATATATATAGTATATTTTATACATTTTAATTATTACATTGGAACATAGTTATAGTAGCTATAAATTATAATACTAATATACACCATTTAGTTGTCGTGATTAAATGTTGAACTATAAAGACATATACGTAGAGTTTATTCGATTTAATTTACTAAAATTATAGATATCAGTTGATGAAAAAAATTTGATTTATCTTTATTAATATTTTATAAGTTATAAAATAAATTATAAATTATAACTTATAAATTGTATAAAATCAGAGTTTGACAATAACAAAAATAAATACTAATGAAATAATGAACTTACTAATAACATTATGTGTCCGTTTTCGCGGTGTATTTGGAAAGGGATTTCGAAGTCTGATTGGTTTTTAAAATTTATCCAACCTCCTCGAGTTAAATATTTTGCTTTTGAAATAGCACAAATAGGATACTGCATACCTGTAAAACAGTACGATATATAATCAAATAAATAATTGATTTTTAATAATATAAAGTATTATGCATTTTTGCTATTTACCAATWATTTATTATAGTTGTATTAACTAATATAATTAAACTTATATTATAGCATATAGATGCCTTTTTAACTTCTTTAMATTTGAAAAAACAGGTGATTTTGAATAATAACAGTTATAACTTAATTATTCGTATTCTAAAAATAATTAATTTCAATGCTTGTGGTTTGGTATGGCCTGSTGTCGACACTTAGTTGCGCACSCTCCTRAGTATACRAATCGGCCGGTGTTGCTAGCTCCTAGATGGGTGATCAGTGATCACCCGGAATTTTTAGCAACAAAATCCTTGTTAATACATACAATATGACGTGTTACCAAACMAATCACCCCCTCCCTATAAACAGYTAATGGCCTATGTTGCCGGGCTCGGGGTCAATAAAAAAAGAATTTGTAACCATAATTTAAGCTTTAATTCAAAATCATTTTATTCTATAAATGTCTTGATTTAATAAAAATTAATAGAATTCATCATTAGTGTATTATGTATTGTGTAGTGACCCGGAAAGAGCCGAGATGGCAATGTAGATCGTCTATATTTTATCAGGTGAAAAACACGATTATAATGATAAAAAATATCATCATATGAGTWAGATAAATTACATATTGGCACAATGGTACCTGTGACCTGTATCACGAACACACATTGAAAATTTAATTAGTGAATAATTGTTGCTCCCAGCTAAATACCTAGTAAAAACATAAATATTTTAAGTTATTTTATTTTCAACGATGGCAAAATAAGTACTTGTGAGCTACAATTGGTTTTAATTGGTAATAGTCTATTTAAAACTAAAATAATATTTCTGTCTTTGGATATGTATGTATAGAAAATACTAAATAACCGCTGACCGCGTTATATATTTAAGCATGGTAGGTATTGAGTTAAATAGATGCCACGAGGCTCTGTAAATTAACGAATACCACGTGCAGAACTGCAGATATCAACTCCGTAAATTGAATCTGCTTGAATAAGTTCTGTTATAACGTTATTAAAGTAAATATTATATCTACAGCAAATAAGATGTACTTATAGTTTATACTATAGCTAAATACCTGTTATATACCCTCAGGATTGACACGTGCATTCCATACGCATAAAAACTGAATTTTTACATCAACATCAAAACACTTAAATTATCATTATTATGTATCTGACAACAATAATATATTATATATATATATTTGCTATTTACATTCCCTTTTTCAATTGAAGATTATAGATATTATTTTTTAGAAACAACCTAGCAATTAATATGTCTCCATTACATCTTGGATAGYCTGATAGATAAGATGATATATGCACTCATATTACACAGACATGTCATTTAGGTGCATATTATAGAAGTACATTCATATTATCTAACTAATTTAATGTTTGTTTTAAAATTTAAAAATAATAAAAAATACTATAACGCATATATGTTGCCAGGATATTCTTTTATTCTTAAAACCACATTAGCAATAGTTTTTTTTTATCATCGAATGTTGATCTAAAATTGATCACAATTGAGCTATATTCTATGAGATCCTCAAAAGTAATAATGTATTTATAATTTACTTATAAGGAAATTTTACCCACATTTTTTAATTTTTTTTACTGTTGTACAAGTGCTTAGAATCAGTATAAATAATTTAAGTTCAGCAGGTCATGTTGATCTTCGATTGAATTGGCTTAATATTAAACCTTATAATTTTACGGCATTGAATTTTGAAACAAGTAGGTAATAAGTGTATAGTGTGAAGTATTAAAATTAAAAAATTTCATAWGTCGTTAAGAATTTAAAATATCAAAAACGTTACAGACAACAAATCACAAACAAATTTATTGTAAACACTGACAAAGACAACAAAAACGGTTAGGTTAGGTTGAAACGTCCTTTAATTAATATTAATTAGTTTTCTATTGACAATGCAGCACATTCAAATGTGAACCAACTTGCCTACTACTCAACAAAATATTTTTATTACTCTGCCTAAAACTAAATATAACCAACCGAAATAATATTATAGAATTATAATTCTGCGWATTTTGAAAATATATTTAATATATATAATWTGTATCACTGATCATGTATTTCTGTTAAAAATTTAGTAGGTWTAGATAGTTGGATATGTATTAAGTGTATTTATAGGGAATTCTTTAAATAACGAAACAAGTTTAACTTGTATTTTTATGCTTTTCTGCGTCCATTTTGAAACAAAAACCATAAATTTAATATTATCTAAAATAAAATACATACCAGCAATTTTAATTTCAGCACTAGGATACACGATTTGTCCTTGTAGTGGTAGAAATACGTAAGGTATCTTTTGTACCGTTGTGCCAGACACGAATGAAGCTAACGAACACTCTGTGAACAGTTAAACAATAAACATTACATTTAAAACAATAATATAARATTTTAAAGACATTTTTAGTGTGTTAATAATTAACTCGGTTGTTATTTACGAACTRCCAACTAGAATTTGCTTTAACATAAGGTAYATATAACTTATAATTATATCGTCTAGTAATGACGGAATAAAAGTTGTACTSATAATAATATTAATTCTGACGATAATGAGTAATTTTTTTTTTGACTATATGTATTCTTATTGCCCATTGGTAAATGAATTGCAATTTTGAGATATAGAAAATTTGTATTTTAATGAAATCTCGAAGAGTTATGATATGTTCCTGTACTTTCCTATATATAATTTAGGACATTTAGGTAGAAGTAAAAATTCTGATTAACGGTTCATCAGCCTCCGTGTARGCACCTATACAATAATAAACAAGCCAATAAAATATTCAGGATTACAGGCAATACATAAATGTGTTTTTACGACCCAAATTAAATGTACATTCTACAGTTAGTCGTTCACAATCGGTGACTTTATATATAGACATGCCCATATATTATAATATATATAACGTCGTTTGTAAACATTTTTTTCTAAATTATTACGTTGAAGTCGTTAGAAAACAAAAATGAATAGCTTTATTATAAAACTAAGATGTTAGTGAACAATTAGAATGTTTTCCTAAGTATCTGTCGTGCGCGTCGTCTAGAGTTGACATTTTTTTTAACGTTATCGAAACACTTAATTGTTATGCTATTAATAATTGCTGGCTTAATCCATGCTGTCAAAATGTATAATGCTGGAATGTGGTGGTGGATAATCGAAGGCCTGAAAATGTGTCGATTTTTTTCCAACCGTTGTTTTATAAATTGTTTTACATTATTTGGCGAGGGGTTGTTTGTTCGAAAATTATGTGTACGAATGAAAAGTGTTTGAATTTTATATGTTCGAATATTATGATTGTGAATGAGTGTGTCTAAATTAAAAGGGTTCGAATGTTATCTGTTAGAAGTTAGAAGATCGATCAACCGGAAGAAAAATKTATTTTTATTATTATTTATAATTCAATTATACAATTAAATATGATATTATATTATTTAAAAAAACAAAAATGTTTTAAAAAGATAAATTATAAGCTATTCCTCTTAAAAATTCTAAAATATTAAAATTAGCATTGTCAGCATTATTTATAAAGATTTTTAATAGTTCTTCTCGTTGTTGTTTGGACTCTTTGAACTTTTTTGGATGCCAATATTGGTMTCGGTATCAAAGGCACCGCATATAGGTATAATGATCACTGCACACATGTTCCGATACGAATAAAATGTAATCTCGATTATCCCGTATCGTTGTAGTCATTGGAATGATGACTACGAATTTCTATATATATATAATATGGCTGCAGGTWTATTGCGCGATCATAAAAGTATACCTATTATCTGGTTATTGATAAATTATTAGGGGCATTATATATTTATTGTATCTGTGACTATGAACGATATTCGTATACTCGTAATTATGTTCAAATAGGAAAATATAACATTCGTAGTTCGTACAATATACGATTCGAACAGATTTGTTTGAATACTCAATTTGAATAGGTACATACATTCGTACATCATACTATTCGAACACAAGTCCATACGAACAGATTTGTTTGAACACTCTTCATTCGTACACTCCCCACATTATTTTTGTGTTGATAATTCGTTTTGAAATATATGATCGACATAATGTTTGTCGATTTCTTTAATATTGTTACATATCTGGTGTTTCTGTTGTTATAAATCATTATCTTTTCAAAAAGTATTAATGTTTTTGCATTGTTTCTAGTCAGTAGTTATTTAAAAATTACATTTAATATATGTAGGTATATAATAATATGTAATTATGTAATACCTGTAATATATATATATATTAATTTTTTATCCTTTTAATTTTTTAAGTTAATTACGTTTTTGAACGACAAAACACAGTTTTAATTCCGTATTCTAAATCAGAATATTTTTCTTAAGTTTTTCGATACATAAAAATGGAATTTAGGACGAGTAATTTATGAGCTATATGTATTTAAGTGTAGATGATTGAAGTAGTAGATTAAAATTTTGTGTGGTAACAGCGTACCATTTCACTCAGCTCATTTATAATAAGTTATAACTCATAAACTTGTTCTTCACAAATTAAATTTTCATGTATTGAAACATTCAGAAAAATATTCTGCTTTCGAAGACAAAATTAAAAATGAATTCGCGTGCCGAAGTTCGCCATCCCCAGTATATAGGTAGTAATGTAATATATAGTATGATGATAGTATAAGTATAGTATCTATGATGTGCATTGGCATCACGGGCCAACTATTTGAGTAGGAAATAAAATTAATCGTTATAAATTAAATAAATGTTGTATATTATGTTGTTGATCGGGATCGATTTATGGAAATTTTGAAGATTTGAAAATGTTGTGTTTTCTTTCTATATAAACATCTGAAAGGTTATATTTTACTTGTTTACTTCTCTTTGGTACGATCACGATGATCTCATTCCGGCCGGATATTAGCATGTTATTAATTGGTTTGGTACTATAATAATATGACTATTTTGGATAAAAAAACCACACTTTCGAGCTTCTAGTATAATAAAACTGTTTTACTAAAATAGTACAATTGATCCATCATTAAATAAACTAAACACATTTGTTTTCGAAAAATGTTCAATAACGCGAGTGAAGAATAATCTAATTGAATGAAAAAAATCTCAAGCTATATATAATATTAATAAGTTATCTTTCATGATAACGAAAATGTATTCATGTGTCCAATATGACAAGCAAACAATTGAAACTATAATTTAAAAAACCAACAAAATAAATCCAGATGAAATATCGCTTTGGCTATTTACTGGGAAAATATTCATATAAATTGTAGAAAATTTGTAAATGAGGACTTTTTGTTTGGAATGCGTGACGGAGTTTATTRTACATACCGTATAATTGTTAGTAATATASATTTGAATTATGGGTCAATATGTAGMGTCAACGGATGATTTGGTTACGGTTTCAGTTTTTATATGCTACATTTTTATCACGAATTTAGTTTTTAATTTTAATTTGAAATTTTGTTTGTATTAGATATAATCTAGGAACATACTGAACGTAAATTATAAATACTTATACTTAAACTTGCTTATAAATTACAGTAAAAACTATTGTTAAAGTATGATTTTTGCTTTTTTTGGTAGATAAAGTAACATTAGGAATGATAATCAATCTACTACCATTGAAAACTTTGTTACTTAAAATAATATCACAAGCCTTGCCAATAATTATTTAAAAGCGTTGCATTCGTGATTTAAATATTTGCATTGTATATATGCARTCATATGATAAACTTCTATAATAWGATATTTTAAACTCAGAAACATATAAAAATACGACAAAAAATTTTAGGTTGTGATATTCTCTATTACTATTCGTCATTATTTGGATGTTTCAATAAAATATTGTGAACATTTTCGAAATCATGTTGTTATCAAAAATCAATCGTTTGGTTAAACTCAGATTTTTTTTTAAACAACGAAGATGCGACTACAAATTAATTATTATTGATATACGTTAGATTCGTCGAATCCGTGTTACTAGGTTAGCGTTGTTATATTTTAAATTATTTACGTCTTCCGCGTGTACATATTGTTTCCTATCGGATACTCGGATTTCTCTCTATTACGCATGTTGATATTTAACACGGCCGATTGAATTTTTCACGGTTTATTTGCCCACTGCCAGATAAAATTTTATTTTTTTGTTATTATATTCGTATACGAAACTATTGAAACTAATACTCGGCGGCAATGTTCAATAAGTTACATCGTCAGCCGTTCCTATACAATAATTGTATTATTGTACGCGCATGAAAGAAAATGTCGCACATTTAGTATCTATTATACCTATATAAATTCTACCATTCGTTAAACTTATATATTAGAGTTATAAGTCATTATGTTTAATAAATAACTATTAATAAGTTATTAATATATAAACTATTATGATTGATAATAATTCCTCGTTTACAGTTGTGTAGAGTAGATTGAGAAGAATTATAGATTTAATTTAAAAAATAATTTGATATTTGTATAGTGGGTACTTATTGTAGAAAATAATTTTCATGGTTAATTAAAAAACCATATGTTTAAGATAAGATATTTCCATTATTACGTATTAGTATTTGAAATGTGATAATGTAAACCAACAAATAATTATCAGAGAATTGTTTCTTTTACACAATTAAAGCTTAAAAAATATTGAACAGTAAAAATGTTATTGATGATGCGGTACGGAAACGCGTTCTATACGTAGGTATATGTACTTGATAAATTACGAAAATCAACCTGGTAGGATGCTGCAGCGTCATAAAATGCACTCACCTCGCAAATCGTCAACACATATCCTCAAGTCGTCCCTGAACACGGGGACGGATTGTATGCACTGACACCTGCAGTTGTCGTTGTGCAACGGTTCCGCGGAAGTTCCGGTCGATTGCTTGTAGCCTCTGCTACCGACCGATGACGGGTAGTCGCGTTCTGCTGCTACGATGCCGTCGACCAACGATGCTGTACCACTGCTCACTCCAACACAAGTTTCCATCGTACATTTTGCGTCTGTGGAAAAGAATCTATTAAAACAACGTTCGTTTTTTCGAAATCGTTATTATTTTTATTTTTTATTGAGGGGGTTGGGTATGGAGACATTGGAGTATTTGTGAGCATAGGCCATAGATTATAACATTAACATGATACTCGGTCGCAAGCGTAGGTATAGAAAAACGTTTCGAATTCGAAGAAAATGTAGCCAACAAATGTTGGTACTTTGTAAAAAAAAAGAACGGCCGAGGCGTGGGTTTTTATATAATATGTATTGGAAATTTTAAAAGATAATTTTATARCGCATTTTTGAACCAATCCGCCACATTATTTGAAAATTATTACAAATTTTAATTTAAAATATGACACTTTTATGAATTAATAAAAACAAATGTAATAGTTTTAATTATTATTATTATTTTTCATGTATTTTAACTATGGAATAATATTTTTGGTTGATTTTTAACTTMAAATATTATGTAGATAACTACCCTGCAAGATGACTTAAGTTAACGAGTTATACTTGAAATGAGGGCCTGGGGCTTTTATTAATTATTCTCTTGCTGCATGCATTTGTTTACTTTGCACCACTAAGATCTAGAATCGCAACTGTGTTACCGGTGTATAATATATAGATAGGACACGAGTAACGAGTTTGACGAACACGAATAAGAATAAATTGCTCCAATAAYAGACACATTRAGGTCTTAGAGAAATGGAAATTTAAACGCTTCGTTACAAACCGTCAATTTGTTCTAAGGCTTTAATCCTATAAATTTTTTTTAATTAAGTTAATTTATGATTGCTAGTAAAATATACTCATTTTCTGTGTAATTAATAAATATATAGGTAGGTACTTACACAAAAAATAATAATAGTGGTTATCGACTTTCATTAAATATAGTATTTTTTMAAATTTTAATTAATCATAATGTTTGTTTGACGTAAACTAAATTCTTTTTGCGATATGGCCTTATATCAAATTAAAAATTTATAGCTAGCATAGCGTAAATTAGAATCTACTTTAGCAYGAGATTACTTTTACATAACTGATTACTGATGTAATAGTTTTATATTCAGTCAAGTCGGGCGAATTTTTTTTTATCACATTAATATGCTCCTATAATAGTATTAGAAAATATAACATTTCAATCGGTTGGAAATTKGATGAAGTGGGTATTTTTTTGTCGGAAGAAAAACTGCACCTACCTACTTTGTGTTTTGAAAACGCATTCAATTAATAATTATTGCTCCCCAGTTTATTTTTATAATATGTAATAACACACCTGTTTTAACACACAGGCGTTTTCTCAATTCAGTTGGCTGTATGATATTATAATTATATTTTTTATTTATAGACCCATTTGCGAAGAATGCCCACTTTTTTATTCTTGTTTTTGTTTCTGTTATAACATAATATTTTTTTCTACTCTGTTATTAAAATTGAAAAAATCTTCGTAAGCTTGTTATTTGAATTAATCTATAGTTAGTAGGCTGTATATAAAATTAATACTTAACTCTGTATTAACTATTATTTTATAAAATGCAGTTTGAAAACTATTATTTATTCCCATTATGAATATTGTTAGTTTTTATACCTAAATATACATTTTAATTTTAACTCGACTTTGATAACTATTAATATATACTATACTCGATCCAATGGTATTTAGCGTGAGTCTWTTGTTGATTGTGTATTACTGTCATTCCTTATTGAGATCAATCTGTTTTAATAATTTACCGATACCGTCACGTGCCATTCGTTATCCATATAACATTATGTTAATAACAATAATTATTAACAACAGTTTCAGCCTTCAGGTATGTTGTAAAACTTGATATTCTAACTAATATGGGTTAGGATAATTTRTTATGATATCGGTAGAAAAAATACAACAAGACGGCACATCAAAGAAAATAATTTGTCAAATAATTGATTTGAAAAAGATCAAAGACGATAACATTATTCCTTATTGTTTATTTGGTATCATTTATATAGACCTAATATTTTTAATATTTTAGATTCTAAGCGGAGCGAGGAATGTATTGATTTTACAATGATGTGGTTTTTTTTTTGTAATTTTTTTTTGTGTCTATCATCACGTTTTGGAGCAGTAAAAGTGCTTCGATTTTCGACTTCAGTACCTCGTTCGATCAGAAAGTGAATCTAGATAGTACTTTGAGGGTCAAAAGTAAAAAATTATATTTTCTATTTTCTTAATAATTGGGATAAACAAACTAAAAATTAAAGAATAAACGGGAATTTTTACACACAATCAATTTTCGAAAAATTTTGGTTTTTGATAACTTTAAAACAAATGACCGTGGGATACTTGAAATTTTCACGGAATGTTTATATAAGTATATTCTATCCACCATGCAGTTTTAAAAAAATTTCGACTTAWGTTSAACTATTTATAGGCATATGCAATTTTCGATCATTATTAGTTTTTATTAAATTAATATTGATAAAAATATATTTGTTGGGTAAAAAAGTTTGAAAATGTAATACAAGGCTCCTATAACATATTGTTACAATAGCAGTTGAAAAATAAAAAAAAATGCACTCTCAACTTTTTTTATAAGCATTCAAAGTTTGAATTTCGACAACATACGTAAAAATCACGAAAATTCGMAAATTATTTTAAGCTAGAAATTCATGAAAAATTTCCTTTTTAAATCTGAGATTTGAAAATTTTTAATAATCTATAATATATTCTAGACWGGTAAACCGTCTCCACTCAGAATCGTTTTTCATATATACAATGATATAATATCATTGGATTCAAATTTAATTCTATCCATTACAGTAACCCCCTTGTAACCTATTGTACAGCAGAGCGATAACCACTTTTCCGCTTTTTAAATATTATTTATGCAGATTTGTGTGTTGTTTTATTAAGTAGGTATAGTTCTGAATTGGCTATTTTGAAGTATTAGCTTCATATATATATCGCAACATCGTAATGTTTTTTTAGAAGAAACAATATTAAGTGCCTATGTACTTACATAAGTCGATTAGAATCACTCACGAAGAAGTACCTATTKTAATATATAATTGAATAACTCCTATATATATGCATAAAACAAATAAAAACGAATSTGATTTCGAGCCCACGAAATTGTTTATAAAATATGATGATACTTTTAAATTGAATCRTTGAAAATTTGTGTATTAAAAACTACAATAACAATAGCATTATATAGGTAGTTAAACTATAAATGTAATATTTTATCAAGTTTTTAAGTGTGTATTATTAATTATTTTTGTATGTAAATAAGGGATAATTAACTAATAATAATAATATAGTGATAATAAATCAACTAAATATATTAATATGTTAACATATACATTAAACATTCATACCTACACTAATTTAATATCATCTGAACAAAGTGTTATCATCTTCATAATTTATGGCAAGCTACCGCTTTGAGGCTGCAGATATATATCAGCTATTTGTATATATTTGAATAATTTCTAAAAAACGTATTAACATTTTAGTCATTCTACATACCTACATACATGCCTAATGCACTTAGAGGCCACGCTTTGACGTACACCACAATGATAACATACCTACATAAARATTTTGTTTTATCGATTTGTCGGCACGTCGTTGTCACCTGTACAGGACGGGCTGTTGGGTTTTCAACCGATTATTATTGTGTCAAGTTTATGTGCCACGCGATCGCAACACTCCTCGATATTATTATTTTATGACCGTAATTTTATTATATGTTTTATAAACCGTTCTAAAACCGTTGGCGTTTGTATACACACATTAATTCTACCGATTTTTGAAATAAGATTTACGACCCATTCCTCCGTTATATTATTATTATTATTATTATTATAGTCCAATTTCGCGGCCAAGGTAATACATTAGTATGCATTTGCTGGCAAAGAGTTTATCTGCTGTGCAGTTCACCGCGGTCGACAATGTCACGATGCAGTCAACTTACCAAATTATATTATCCGTTTGTAAGAAATTAATAATATAAAATCATTTGTTCAATGTACCTATTTGTTATTTTTTTTTATCTCAACTATTTTTCGCTCAATGTATTGAACAAAATTTAATTTAATTTCCTAAAACAGATAGAAAATAAGCTGAAAAAATTTTCAAATGTCTGCATAAATTATCCTTATAATTCGGCTACTAAAATTGTAATTTGTTTTTAATTTTAGTTAACATTTAAAATTGTAGTGGATTTTACTTATTTAAAATAGTAACATTTTACATCCTGCAAAGCAGCGGAATATTTAGGAATCTTTCATGTAGGAGGTCCGTCTAATTTTCCTCACACTTTAAAGTTGGGGGCACATGTGAGCCCATATCCCCCAAAAATAACACATTCATATTTATACCTAGTTATTTATTTTTGACCATATAAAATAAAATGTAAGTATAGTACAAAATTCAATCTTTTAGGACTTAGGCCAAGCGCACACGGTGCAACCGTTTTGGGACAACAGTTGCAAATCAGTTGCAGGCGCAACTGTTTTGTGACCATGGCATCGTATAATTAATGTGACAATTCATTGATGATTTAATCAACTTTTATTAATATGTCCCGATTAATGGTCACATCGTTGCTATTTGCAAGTCTATTAATCCTTTATTGTSTACTACATACTAATACAATTATGTGGGGTCTGAACMCCATGAACTCTCCCTAATATGCAACTACTGMAAATGTATGAAATAGATTACACATTTTGGTCTTAAAAATACTCTGTATTGCTTATCGATATCTTGATAGCTCTATTTAATTCGAGCCTGATTACTGCACATACTAGCAAATATCAATATTGCCATACTTAATCTGATACTCATGACTTTATATAGTTTAATATACATCCCCATCACTCCTAAAACTTATATTATAATAGTTTTATTTTTATTATATCAACCTATATTATATAAGAAATATAAAGAAAATGGCTTGACAATAATTAGGTTAGCCACATTAGTGAACATCGATATAAAAAGTAACACTTAGAAATTGAAAAAAATATGAAGTTTAATTGCGATCTAACGGATTTATTTTTATTATTTCAAC